GGTGCTCCCCCCCCACCCCTGCTGTGACCGCGCTCTCTCCATAGGGCCACAGCGGCTCTGTCTCCTGCCTGGACTTCAGCAGCAGCGGCAAGTACCTGGCGTCGTGCGCCGACGACCGCACGGTCCGACTGTGGAGCACCCGGGACTTCACGGCCCGCGAGCACCGCTGCCTGCGTGCCAACGTGGGGCTGGACCACGCCGAGCTTGTCCGCCTCAGCCCCGACTCACGGTAGGGCCAGGCCTCCCTGCGCCCCGTCCACCCCCGCCCCAGGGACCGCTCGGGGCATATCGGCACCGGGGCGTCCTGCGGACCGGGCTGCACGGAGGCTGCGCCCCTCCCAGGGTCTTGACAGCGGCCACTGATTCGCGAAAGCGGCGGGCGCTTTAATGTGGCGCTCAGGGCGAATATCCCAGTGCCCAGCTTGCCACCCCCGCGGGAAGCGGTTGTTAAGGCCTTTGCCAGCAGGCCCTGCGGCTGGGTTGAGCTGCTGAGCCTCTCCGGGGCCTGGGGAGAGAGCCCTTCCCGGCTGGGAAGGCTGGTTGAAAAGCATGCCTTGGCACTTCGTGACGCGGCCTCTTTTAGAGAGAGGAGGGCGTCTCGTTTCCGGATGCGGAGTAATAAATTCTGTTCTCTTCCATTCAGCGTTGCAGTTGAGCTAACACAGGGAGAGAACTTGGCGCCCTCGTAAAGCACACAGCTTTTTATCTGCCAGCATATCCCTTTCCCCAGGTGCCACTGAATGAGCTATTAGCTTACCTGCTGTAGCTAGGCTGAGCTGGGGAAGCCCGTTTCTTAATGGTTCAGAGTGTCTGTTCTTCCACTTAGGGCGTTCATTGTTTGGCTGGCGAATGGCGAGACTATTCGTGTCTATAAGATGACTAAGAAGGATGATGGCAGCTTCACCTTCACTGCAACTTCTGGGGACTTCCCAAAGAAGCACAAGGCTCCTGTCATTAACATAGGAATTGCAGAGACAGGTATGGAAACGACGGAGCTGCTCGCTTGTTGAGGCTCTCGAGATCGGCTTTGATTTCCCTGTAAAACAAGAGCTGCTGGGGTGAAAGTGCTGGAGTTTTTGGCACTCTCAAGGCCCGTTTCTGCACCGGTACTTGATTCTCTGTAGTCCCTTAGAGGTTACTTTTTAGCCTTTGTTTACTACTGAGGGAACCGAAAGATGTCATTTTCAGACAAACAATATTCCTGTAAGCACAGAATTAGCACCCTGACACGCACGGTCTCTTAATTGGCATTTTCAGGGATGCTGTTGCAAAGAGGTCTGGTCTCAGTATTGAGAGGATCGCCGTTCTCTGGCCCACCGGTCTGTCTTTAACCAGTCAAAAATCTCTCTAGTGAGTTCACATGGTCTATCTTGGGCTTCTGGGATCTTCTAGAAGAGAGGCTGGGGCGGGTATGTGTTACTGGTGAGGGCTTGATGCTTCAGGTATGTGACAGCGGGCAGCTGGAAGTGGGTGGACGTGAGTTCACCTCTGTAATAGGAGAGCAGAGAAAATGTTAACTGAGACCTTCGTTCAGCGTGAAAGTGAAAACTTAGACCTGCAACGAGTAGCTGAAAGGTAAACGGGCAACTCCCTGTCTGGGCTGAGATGCAAAAGGGAAGGCATTGCAAGTGGAAACAAGCAGGAGTCCAAAATGCTGACACAAACGGTAATCGTGGATAATAGTAGTGTGACTTGTGGTCAGCTACCTGCCCGTAATCCATGGCTGGAAAGCTAGAGGTACCTCGAGTTGTGTTTTGACCATCTGGGGAAGATGGAGTCGGCTGCGCTACGCCTGTGGTACCAGCTTAGTGCTGAGCTCTGCGAGGGGGATCTGAGGGGTGCTGGGGCGAGACGCAGGTGTGGTCCCCGAGTGCCCGTTGCCAGCTGACGGCTGCTGAAGCCAAGGGTGCGCTAATGCATAACCAGGAGCCGAGTCTTCTGATGTTGCTCTTCGCCCTGTCCCGTGAGATTGGCACTCCTTGAATTTCGGTGCTGCTTTTGGTTTTCTTGACTGCCCAGGTGCAGGGAGAGGCGGCCCTGCTTAGGGACCCTCCCAGGCCTTCGGCAAGCCTGTGGCAGCGTTAGGCCTGGGAGCTCTCCTGATCTTTGCCTTGTCCCCCCAGGAAAGTTTATCATGACAGCTTCCAGTGACACTACCATCCTGATATGGAGCCCGAAGGGTGAAGTCCTGGCCAGCATTAACACTAACCAGATGAACAACGCCTACGCCACGGTGTCGCCCTGCGGAAGGTGAGGGGTGTGAGGTAGTCCGGGCTGCTCCTGCTGCTGAGTGGGAGACTGCAGGAGTGAACAGGAACCTCGCTCCTTCCCGGAGGGCGTCATCAGTTCAGACCATCGGCAATTAGCTAATTGTTATTTTAATGCAATTTTCTGAGGGTTCCACATTTCAAAAAGCGATTCCGGCCCCCAAGAGCAGCCCCTCCAGGAGCGCCGACTCTTGCCTGCGCAGTCTCAGACACTCGGAGGGTTGCTGTTGCGCCTCAGCGCTGCTTTTCCTGTTAACCACCTCCTGAAGAGCTGAGGAGAACAGCATTGGCCTCAAAGCGGAGGTGGGACAATGCAAATGGCGTATGCAAGGCAAACAGCATTTCTAACTTGTTTTTAACCTTTTCAAGGTTAATTATAAAATTAAAGTCTTTATTACTGAGAGATTGTTTATCAGGAAAATCGTGTTCTCTGCTCTGCCTCTAACTTGTTGCTGCAGGAAGACTTGCCACGCTCCAAGCTCAGTGAGTTTGGGGATCAAAAGCACTTAACTATTTTATTTTGGCCTGGGAGTTTCTCATGCCCAAGTTGCGGAGTCGCTGCTCTGGTCCCTGGCGGCCTTCCTTAGCGTTCCCTTTGCCAGCCTGGTTTCAGTGAAAAGCAAAAACTTTTTCAGCTGACCAAAGCAAAAGATTTGAACGTAGGTGTCTGGATAGCTTTGCCGTCACAGAGCCCCGCCTTAGGCACCCCTCCACGCAGGAGGGCTGCCCCTGGCCCCTGCCTTGCTCAGGAGGCCAGAGGGGAGCTCTGCAGGGCTGGCCCCACGGCCCGGGCGGAGTAGGTGCTCTGTAACAGATACCCCGTGTCTTTCACCCAGGTTTGTGGCATCCTGTGGCTTTACCCCTGATGTGAAGGTGTGGGAGGTGTGTTTTGGCAAGAACGGAGACTTCCGGGAGGTGGCCAGGGCTTTTGAGCTGAAAGGCCACACCGCTGGCGTGCATTCCTTCTCCTTCTCTAATGACTCGAGGAGGTAAGTGTGTGTTACCTGCTGCCTGAAATATTACGCTTTCGCTTGCCCTCGGGACACATGAGCTCGCCCCTTCCAGTGTACGCCAGCAGCCTGTGCAGGGGGGCCGCACCCCTGCACGGTGTGGGGGGAGTGCTGCCCTCTGTGCTCTCCTGGGAGCCCAGGGCAGCAAAACCCTGACCGGCTCGTCCCACCTTGCGTATTCCCCGTGGATTTCCCCCTCCTGGGGGTGACTGCTGTCCGTGCTCCGGAAGGAGGACGAGGACCGTGCGCGTGTGCGGACTTGTGCTTCCCAAAAGAGCTCTCCGGCCACAAAGGATTCCTGGTTCGCAGGCGTGGCAGGGGAAGAGGTGCTGCCCGGTTTCCTGGCGCTCACCCATGCTCTGTCTCCTGGCTGCAGGATGGCGACTGTTTCGAAGGACGGGACGTGGAAGTTCTGGGACACAGATGTGGAATATAAGAAGCAGCAGGATCCGTACCTGCTTCTGACGGGGAAGTGCGAGGTGGCGGAGCCTTGTCGCATCGCCCTGTCCCCCGACGCTCGAGTCGTCGCCATCTCTAGCGGCACAGACATTGTTGTGTGCAACACACGAAGAGGAGAGGAGGAGGAACGCTTCCTCGGTGTGCACGGACAGTGCATCACAGACTTGGCTTTTGACACCAACAGCCGCTACCTGGTGTCATGTGGGGACCGGGCCATCCGCGTCTTCCACAACACTGCCGGTCACAGGGCGGTGGTGGAGGAGATGGAGGCCATGCTGAAAAAAACGGCCAACAAAGCCACCCGAGAGAGGCTGGAGCAGCAGATCGCCAGTGCCCGCAAGGCGCTGGCCGCGATCTACGGCAAG